CTTAAAAATTAAAAGTGTGATAGTGGAAGTTTAAAGAAAATCAACAGAGGGATTGGAACGTAAAGTTGAGGGTATTTCCCAGAAAGCAGAACCTAAAGAAACAGGATTGAATATTAGGAGAACAAAAACACCTAGGAAATACAAGCATTTTTTAAAAAATGAAACATTTGTGGACTTCAGGAACAGAAAAAACATCCAAAAAAGAAAATGGCTGTGTGAGGAACACGACTTGACCCAGCTGTGGACAGTGTAACAGTCATAGTCATGAAGATTCCGAATATGGATTTAACCAAAGTTGCAAGGAGGAGCCCGTGCCACGGCAGAAGCTCAGTGGGCAATGTCTCAAGTTGATAAAAGAGCACAGAGAAGCATATTTTGGGCCCCGGGGGAGTTTCCTGGTGTTGACGTAAGACACATCCAGGCCTGTGGAGAATTTTTAGAAGAGTTTATTTGAGCCAAAAGTGATGACATTTCTGGAAGCGAGACCTCCAGTGCTCCCGAGAACGATGGTTTTGCAGCTTCTTTGATATCTTTGGAGTTAAGGGGGGAATGAAAGATCACGAAGCGGGAGAAAGCAGGGCATGATTTAGCAAGATAGCGATACTCTGTGCTCTCTGGAGGGAGGTTCTGCCCGGAGGGGTATGGAAAAGAAGATTACCTCCTATCTTTCAAGGTGTGTTGACCTAGATGTACAGGGTCAATGGACAGGGCTTGCTTAAACCTTTTACTGAAGTTACAGACCTGGGGCCTAACCACCCACTGTGACCTGCTGGTTAGGAGTTAATGATCAGTTTGCCCTGTGACGTTACTTTTGGTTAGACTCATCACAGCGCCCCCTTCTGGTCCACACTGGCAAGCTGAAAGGTCTTACAGTGGGGAGAGGTAGGAACTGCTGCCCTTTGATAGAAATTTTGTAGTATTTGGTGTTTGCAAGTACTGTTTTGATATAACAGTAATAAATACATTTTTAAAAACTTAGATATAATTTTAAAATGTGGGCAAGACAGAGTCATTTCATATTCAAACCGCCGCATGTCTACAGTGAGATGCCCCCGGAGGGCATGGTGGGACAAACAACGTCCACTTCGGTGAATGCTCCTGAGAGCAGCGGCCCCCAACCATTTTGGCACCGGGGACCGGTTTCATGGGAGGTGATTTTTATGCAGACTGGGGCGGGGGTGGGGCAGGGTTAGGGTTTCGGGATGACGCAAGCACATTACATTCAAGCTCGCCTCCTGCTGTGAGGCCCAGTTCCTAACAGGCCCAGACCAGAACCGGTCTGCGACCTGGAGGTTGGGGACCCCTGGCCTAGAGGCATCGTGAAAAGGTCTGACTCTGTCCCGCAGTAGAGAAACCGATGTGACGGGGACTCTTCTCCACCCAGACGCTGCGCGCTGTCAGGGGAGAATGCGGGCGTGGACTGCCCTCTTCTCCCTCCGTGGGAGAGATGGTACCGTGTCTCCATTCGGAGCCTCTCGGGCAGCCTCACCCAAGGCCCAGGAGAACCGAGGGCCGACTCTGACCCTCCTCGCCAGCCGCAGGCCCGCCAGACTCCTTTCTGCCCAGCAGTCCCCCCGCAAGCCCCTGTCCTCCGTGGTCGCTTGAGGGGAGTAGTGAGAGTCACCGACCACAGAGGAGGGTCTCCTGCGGCAGGAATCACCCCCAGACCCAGAGGCTGCCGTGGTGAGCAGGAGGGGCACAGGGGAAGGAGAAGAAGCTGGGAGGGCAGATTCAGCCTCTCCTCAGACAGCAGAGGGGGTGTGTCCTTGACTTCTTCTAGTACCTGGAGGAGGCCCCAGGGATGCTTGGCTTGGCTTGTACGTTCCTGGTCCTGTCTCAGTAAGCAGAGCCGGAGAGCCCAATCGAGTCACACCCCCTGGACACCTTGCAGGACTCTTCACGTGTGTTCCCTGGTCGAGGCTTGTTTCCCTGGTCATCTTCCTGTTGTCAGGTATTTTAGAGGATTACCGTACTGTGTCCTGGGCTGGCACCAGGTTCTTTTTCTCAACCCTGATGAAGCACAGACTCTTTCCCAGGAAGGTAGTGTATTAGAACAATTAATGCTAAATTGTATTTGACATGCTAATCAAAAGGAGTGGTGGCTTTTTTAAATGTCTCTTGGTATAAAACTTGATCAGAGCTGTTAGTTTCGTTTTATTTTTTTCCTCCACAGTAGAATCATTTGAATAATATTCAATGATCTTAATTGGGGCATTTGAAGATACTGGGGTTTGAAAAATAGTGGCGAGGCAGCCACATGTAGGGAGAGCCTTTGGAATATAAACAGAGAAGTGCTGGGAACGGCAGAAGCCCCTGGCTCACCCCGCACAGATGGGTTGTGAGGGCAGGTGGTGCGAAGGAGGGTCTCCTCATTTCCCCTCCCCCGTCCTTCCCCCCTCTTCCCCGCCCCCCATCTCTGTCCCCACACCCCCCCTTCCTCCTGTGCCCTTACCATCACACCTTTAGAGGACCTACCATGTGCCTGGCACTCACAGAACCGTGTGCGTTATTACACACAGAATTTAATGATTGTAATCATGTGTATATTTTGATAATCTAATAATAATTACTTTTCGCGCCATCCTACATATCAAGAAACTGAAGTGTGGCACGATTAAGGAACGTGCCCAACGTTACCCGGCTAGGGAGGGGTAGAGACTGGAGACGAGCTGGGCCAGGGCCGGGTTTCTCCTGCTCACTCACTGGGGCGAGCCGGTGCTCAGCTGCGTGAGCCGAGAGTGTGCAGACGGTGGCGGATGCATAGAATGAGCCTCAAAACAGCACAGCGATTCCCTCAAGGCCACACGCTGGTCAGCGGCAGCGGGGCTGACCCAGGTCTGTGATTCCAGTTTGCTCTCCTCTCTGCGGCATCAGCGCGCTGAACCTGCAAAGAGAAATGTTAGAACATTCACTGCTAGGAACATGTAACCTCCTGTCTGGGTTCCAAGCTCTGAATTCTCACATTTCTCAAATTATTTTTAAGCTGTAAGTACATCTGTTAAGCGCGGCCAGAAGCGATGCCAGAGGAATGGTATCTGGCTCGGCGTTGTTTCCTAATGGACAGAAGAAAACCTAAGTCAATCTTAGGTTTAATGCATTTCTTCTTCTCTGACCCAATTTAAAAAAAAAAACAAAAAAGCTTTTTTCATCAGGCAAAACGTCCCCTTGAAGCCCTCGTGGGGGATTAGTGAAGCCGTGAATTATTGAATACATTACTGACATAGCCAAGGTCATTGTCCTCCCCCAGCCCTGGGTCAGCAGCTCTCACCAAAGTCAGCTGGTGATTCAGGGCCCGAGTGCATCTCGGGCATTGGTTATGGTACAAATGCTGGTTGGTGTGTAGCAGTTGACCTTGAGTGAGACCGTAACTCCAGACCATTTGTCTATGGAAAGTGCCTTGGCATTGGCCACCCATCCCCTCACTCACCAGTGGAAACCACCTCAGGCCATGGCATTGGCTGCCTGTCCTGACAGCCCCGCCCTATGCGGGCACAAGGCTGGGCTCACCACTCGGGTCCTACACCTGCCGGTTCTAGAAGGAAAAGATATTAGGCAGTCAGCCCACAGCTACCCTATCTCCACAACCTCCTTTTTTCACTGCACCACAAGAAAGCCGTATCTGTGTTCTTTCTAAAGCTCGGCTCAAGCACTGACATCCCCTTTGCTTCCCACCCCACAGCTACATGCTGGGAACCATCACGCCGTTCAGGGAAGGCCCCCATGCTGGGTCTGTAGCTCTCTGATCGCCCTGCCGTTCCCTGCCTGGTGTTAAGTGTGGCCCTCTCACTGTCCTCATCAGGACATAAGACTTCACAAGTAAAGATGAGTCTTAGGACCATGGCTCTTCTGTGTGTGGGCCTCGGTGGATACGGGGTTGCTGAATCTGCAGGCAGATATGTGCAACGTGGTGACAAAGGTTTAGGGAGATGGGAGTGACTGCCCACGTTCCTGTTGCTCGTCCTTTAGCTTTTGCCTTTCGTGTGCTCGGGAAGGGGGGGCCTGGCCGGAGGGTGGCGGACTCCGCCCTGTGGGCCCGTGCCAGCCCTCTGCCCGTTCTCACGTGGAATCATTTTTGCATTTTTAAATGACCGGGGTGGGGCAGAACACTTTATGACATGGAAGAGTACATTAAATTTAAATGTTTAAGTGTCCTTGTTTTTGAATAAAGTGTCATGGGAATGCAGCCATACCCGTTTGTGTATGTACTGTCTGTGGCTGTTTTGATACAAAACAGCCATCAGCCGCTGAGTAGTTACCACGGAGACTGCACCTCCCACAAAGCCCAGACTGCTCACTGTCGGACCAGTGCAGAAGAGGTACGCCAGCCCCTGCTCTGAGTCCTTCTCAGAAAGGTCTGCCACCGTGGGAAGAAGGGACCAGGTGGCCTTTCTGATAAAGGGGATGTGCGGTGAAGGCACAGAATGCCTGAAGGGAAAGGAGATCTGGAAACCAGAACAGGGAGGAAGGGGAGGCAGAGGCCTGTGGGAAGAGGCCGGGTCTCCCAGGCATCATCGTGCACCTGGGGGCATCTCTCTCAGGGGCGCTGGGCCCTGGAGGCCTGTGAACGTGCCTCGGGGTCGGGCATCTGCTACCTTACACCGCTTTCTGCTCTCTGCCGTCAAGGGCTCTGCGTGGTTCCTTTGACAAATTATAAACTAGGAAAGGTGAGACTGGGAGGTTATCCGTCACACCTGATCATTCCATGCAATGCTAACTCACAACATTAAAGGGCTCTGTGTAGCCCGGTTATCTCTGATTCAGCTGTGTGTGTGTGTGTGTGTGTGTGTGTGTGTGTTAGGGAAATCTGTGTTAAGTATGTATCTGTATTTTTTTGGAGAAAATCCATTTTGGATGACTGCCAATTAGTTATCCCGTATGCGGGGACCGTGACACACTTGCAGTTTTTAAGTAAAGACATCAATTAGAACTTGCCGAGCATCAGTTTTTCATTTCTGAATCTGCTGTCATTTTCACGCGTCTCCCTTATTTTCTTGTTCCAGGGTAACGCCCTGTACTTCAAATCAGCCAGAAATGTGACCGTGAACATTCTCAATGACCAGACTAAAGTGCTAACTCAGCTGATAACAGGTAAGAGAAGAAAAAAATTAACAGTGCCTATGCACTCAGAAAATGTAGAACCAAAACGCGAATGTACGCCATGTGAACTGAAGGAAGAAATGTCTGCTGGCACATTTTACAGTGGGGAGAAGGAGAAGGTAGCCCGCATGTCACGATCCCACTGAAGTGCAGAGTGCCTTCATAGACGCACGTTTAACTCGGGCAAACCCAGTGATATTTGTTCAAGGGGGAATAAACTATTTTTCATGCAGCACTGCCCCTAAACACAAGCCAGCTGCTTCCGCTGGTGCTCAGCCACAGAGAGCCACAGTCTCTGCTCCGAGGCTGGAGACAGTGTTGGATTAACCGAGAGAGAGCACAATGTCCACAAAACCATGAGCGCCGCACTGTATGGGGTGTAAAAGGGATTTTCAATGGTAGTGTGAACCCAGCCATGTTTGCCGTACATGCTGACTTCGAGCCTACCTCGATTGCAAGATGCAGATGTACCCCCACTGAATACATGCACGTGGTTCCTTTAAACACAGCAGGTTGGCTCCTGACAGCTGTGGAAAGCACCCAGTGGGTTTCAAGCCGCATATTCCTGAGATTTAAACAAGGGTTGGTTGGCCATGGCAATGCTTATTACAGTGATAAACCGGGGCCTCGTGGCTGTGGTACGACCAGCGCCCCCTCGGTGTGTTACGAGCACCAGTGAACAGGAGCCAGCACGCACCCCACAGCGGAAAGGACAAGGGAGGTATATCCAATGTCACTGCTGTACTTCCGGACAGAAAAGGCCATTTGTTTGGCTTCCGGGCTGAGAGGAAAGTATGCAGATGGACGTTTTGAGAAGCCAGTTGCCCAAATGCCCTGAAACGTTACTGTGACTGAAACATCTGCAGCCCCACGAATGCGCAGGGAAACAGGTGCCTTGGTGCCTAGGCCTGCTGTCCACACTGCAGGAGCCCTGCATGTGGGTGTCTGGGGACCCACGGCCCAGGGGCGACTTGGACCATCTACCACCAGTGGAGAGCTCAGGGTTGGAAGGAACAGTTCGTAAACATGCTGTTCTGGCGTGCGAGTGCATTGTCAGCGGTGCTTATAGAACATCTGGCCCGCAGTCACCGTGCTAAATAATTAAATAAACGGCTTCAGTAAGCAGTGATTTAAGTGGCGTGTGTGAAAATTGCCTCCAGGGGGGGAATAAATCCAACCTCCAGCTCCCAGAGTTCCACATTCAGAAGGAACTTATTTAGCCTGTTGATCATTTGCCATTTATTCGCAGTGGGAGATTTGGTTTACTTGAGAGATTTCGTTTTGATAAAGCTGGAACTGTCCAGATGACTGTTCTTCAGCAAAAGTCTCTCCCCGTCCTTCTCCCGCTCCCCAGTCTTCCCGTTTCCCCGCCCACCATGACCCCTTGCTCTCTCCTTCCCCTTCTCTCCTCCCCTTCCTCTTCCCTCTCCCCTTTCTCTCTGCCCACCCCTTTTTATTTTTAAATCCTTACCCAAGGATATGTTTATGGATATCAGAGAGAGAAGAAAAAGAGGGAGACATTGATTGGTTGCCTCCTGTATGTGCCCTGACTGGGGATCGAACCCACAATATAGGGATGTGCCCTGACTGGGGATTGAACCTGTAACATTTTGGTGCATGAGCTGATGCTCCAACCAACTGAACCACCTGGCCAGGGCTCTCTGCCCCTTCTTTCTTCCTCCTAATCTCCCCATTCTTTCTCTTTTCTCCCTGTCTCCTCCCTCTTTCCCTCCCTCTTGCCTCCCTCTTTCCCTGTCTTCTGTTTTGCTCTCTCCTCTGCCCAAGTCAGACCCCCTCGGGAGCTGAGAAAACTATACATAGCTCTTAAGGCAAAGCACAAGATAGCGCATATTAACCTGAGATGAGCAAAAAGCCATTCTAACACTAGCCCACAGATCCTTCCAAGACGATTTCTAAAGAGGAGAGCAGATGTGTTCAAAATATAACTCTAAGCATTCTCCCGCACACACACACACACACACAGTCACCCCTAAAGTTTTCCTTCAGGGTGCTCCATTTCCGTGCATGCACGTGAGGGACGCACAGAGCAGTTCCAGGGGAGACAGCTTCTTGCAAGTGAACGTACTCTTGAGCAAATGACTCCCATCGTCCCAGGGGCCAGGTTTACTGAGGCAGCCCAGAGGATTCGAGAACTCCTGATTTACATACAGAACGTTTCCAAAGGCTGGAAGAAATTCCACTGTTAGCGATCCAGGTGACCTTGTCACATGAAACAGTGTTTTGAATGGCAGTTAAGTTCCCGGACTCCACCGCAGGCACACATCCGACTCAGACCCCTGCCGATGCAGTGCCAGCCCCGGAGTGGGTCCAACAGGAAACCTTCTGCCCTGCAGGAATGGAATGATGGCAGAATCTTCCGTAGCACCTTGCCAGAGCGGGGAGGGCCCCTAGTGTCCAGGGAGCTGGGGGAGGAATGAGGCTGGGTGTCTACCGCAGGCCTTTGCAGCTCCCAAGCCGGTGGCCGCGGCCTGACTGGGACCCTGCCGAGCCTCCCGTTGGGTTCCAGGTCTCTCCGCTGAGGAGATGAATGGCTGAGGCGCGCCACACACAGACTGCGGGGCACAGAGGGGGACTGACTGGAGAGTACAGGGTACGAGCGGGATTTCTTTTTTTCTCTCCCAGAGAGGGAACAATGGGTTCACCAGGGGACCTTCTGAACAGCCCACAGTTCCATTTACATTTCTCTTTAGAATTATTTTGTGTTTGGTGTTTTTTTTAAGATCTCATCATGTGCTCGGAGGTTGGGCAGCCCCAGGTCAAACTGACAGAAGCACTAGCCCATCTGCACCAGGGAGACAGCAGCCTCACCGGGGGCTCTGTATTCTGAGCAGCCCTGGAAAGCAAGAGAAGTTCCTTGTGTTTAGTGTTCTCCGATGACTACTGTGTCTTCAGGACACTCTCCTGTATGTCTCCCCTGCTGCCATTCATGAGTCCAGAGTAAATTACACAGAGGCAGGCGCTCTCGACCCCTCAGGGTCCTGTCTCCTGTCACCACCCCGGATCATGAAGGCAAAGTCCAAGTGTTTGGGTTCCCCAGTCATGCCACCACTTCGCTGCCTGACTGGATCCAGAGTGGGCAGACTGGGCTCACCTGTGCCCATTCCAAGGTCATTCATTCATTCATTCATTCAGTAGCCCTATTTTACCTCCTGGTCCCAAATCACCACCCTGAAAAAAAAAGCAACAACCCCAAAACATTGGCAAGTAATACAGATTTCCCGGAAGGTTTGGGTGTCACCAGGAAGGCAGCCGCGTCTTAGCCCTTCCCGGACAACTAACTCCAAGTTCACATCCACACCTCTGTTCTTCAGTGTTCGCTCTCTCTCGTCTTTCTCTCCAGCTTACCGCTGTCCCTTACCCTCCCCAAAGCTCCTCACGTGGACTCCAGCCCCCTGCTCCGTCCTAGACAAATACATGTCCCTTTGCTTCCTTGGAACAATTCGGAAAGCTCAGGTCCAGACCCAGATCTGCCATTAGCTCACCTGAGGACCATGAGGGAGCTCTCAACCTTTGCCACAAGCTCTGCTCACCTATGGCACGAAAGTGGTGGGAGAAGATAATGCCCAGGTGCCATGCCATTGGGAAATTCTGTGCTACGTCTGCTGTTCCTATCTCCCACTCGTGAAGAAGCCTTTCCCATGCCCTTTGTGTTATCAGAGGCTAGCACGGACGTTCTGGTGTGAGATCAGGGCTCCAAGGCGACGTGATCATGTGAAGGAGGCAAGCGCCCTAAGAGGTGCTCATCGTGAATTGTTTTCACTGTGTTGGGGCCACGGCACTGGGGACCTGCCCATGGGCACGATCACAACAGTGACAATAATCACAAGAGCAGTTCCCCTACCTTTCACAGTACTTTTTTGGCCTACAGAGTTCTTTTTATAAACAGTATAATTTGATCATCTTGACCTTTCTATGAGGTAGATACAATAAGATGATAGTACACTCTTATGGATGCAGGAAATGAGGGTCAGAAAGATCTAATCCCCTGGCCAGGTGGCTCGGTTGGTTGGAGCATCATCCCATACACCAAACGGTCACAGGTTCTATCCCCAGTCAGGGCACATACTGAGGTTGCAGTTTCAATCCCCAGCCAGGGGAAGTACAGGAGACAACCGATAGATGTTTCTCTCTCACATCGATTGTCTGTCTGTCTCTCTGTCTGTCTCTCATTCAGATTAACACACACATCCTCAGGTGAGGATTAAAAAGAAAAGAAGAAGAAAGATCCAATGACTTGCACAGAGTCACATTACCAGAAAATGAGTTGGGACGTAGTTCTTGTCCTCCGATGCTTAGACTGACAGCCTTGACAAAAGGGAGAGCTGCCCCAGACACCCAGGGGCTGGCTGGGGACTGTCAGCCAAGCCTTGGTGTTCTCCTGTCGGACCATAAATAATTTCACAGAACATCAACACCAGACAAGGCCGCTTGGTGGCCGTGAAGGGTAAAGACAGAACAAAAACAAAGACGGCTCAGACAGAATGCAAACATTTACCCAAACCACAAAAATGACCGATCATTCCTCTAGCCTAGCTAATATGACTTGTTTCTTTATTCAGTACAGTTCTAACATTCTTCTGGTCTTCACTACTTCTAGAAAAAGATTTATTCAGATACCAATCATAAAATTACTCCCACTTCCTGACAGCATCTAATCCAAAGCAAAGTCTTACTTCCTTAAACCCTGCCCAAAATAACCTAATATAAGGCCAGATACTGTCAGAATCCTTCCTTAATACCAAGATGCCTCACGTGGCTCCCCATGGTGTGTCCCCCCTCCTAGCAACGACCACTAAACCCAGCTTGTGCAACTGCAGGGGTGTTCCTGGTCATTTCTGCCTGGAAGACAGGAGGACTCTTTTAGTACTACTTTTTATTAATAACTAAAAGGAAACAAAAATTCTGTATCAGAATCTCCTGGAAAAGTCTGGTTAAGTATAAAATTTCTGGACCCTAACCCCAGAGTTTCCTCTGTATGAATCTCCAGACCCAAAGGTAAATCCCTTTGCGTCCGAGCTGGGTCTCTTGCGGGGCCTGATGCTCCCGGGCTGTTCCGATGACCGCCGTGCGTTCCGCTGGCTCCAGCGCAGACAGACTGACCTGTCTCCTTTCTTTTTTTTTTTTTTAGGAATTCTAACACAGTAACCTGTTTTATTTTTTCCAGAGTGCCCCGAACTCTCTGTAGTTATGTATTCATTTGTACATGTTCACACTCGCATCCGTCTGTCTCCATCAGAAGACAAGTGCAGTGGGGTCAGGGGCCTCGTCTTTGTTACGCGTCAGTATCCCCATCTTCAAGAGCAGTATCTGTTGTCATGTGATAAATGCTCTAAAATTTATTTTTTGTGTGAAATAAAATCCTAGCATAAAAGATTCATCAACTTTCTTAGGCAAGTAATTGCAAGATGCTATAACCTTTCCTGCCAGGAAATGATCTCTGTACTGAGGAAATATAACTCGTCTGGTGTCAAGAGCAGCTGGTGGGTCAAGGGCACAGAGTGAGACGGATTCCGGGTCGACTTAAAGGCCCCCTGTACAACAGCCGGGGCTGGGCCGAGATATGCAGGTTGCTTCAGCAGGCAGTGAGCCTTCCATGCCTTGATATATTCAAGCCAAAATCTACAAGTATTTGATGGTAATTTGGTGGTTAGCTCAAATGTCATGTCAGGGAATGTCATTCAAGCATTAGTTCAGAGGAAGGATGTGATGGTCTTGAAAATCCCAGCCCAAGAGCATGTGATAAAAGGTAATTGACAAGACACAGCTCAAGTCCTGAGACTGGTTTTCGTGGTTGGCCTCTGAAAACCAATCCACTTACACCAGAGTCCAGTGCAATCTTGTCAGATGCCTACGCTCTATGACAAGCTCTTTGTAATTGAATGCAATGAGACTAATGTGCCCTCCCTCTCTCCCTTCCAGGTCCAAAAGCTGTAGAAGCGTATGGCCAAAAGTTTGAAGTAAAGACAGTTTCTGGGAAATTGCTCTTCTCTGCCGATAACAACGAAGTAGTGGTCGGAGCTGAGCGATTACGAGTCTTAGGTAAGGAGACTTTTTAATTGGCCTGATGCTACTGTGTCCCTTTGAGAGGAAGAGTGAAATGTGATTTGGGCCAATTACCTGGATTCTCTTAAACCAAGGTAGTTGAGCCACCCACCTTGGAGCCTGGTCCCTGGTGGAAAGTTCTCGTCACAATGTGCTTTGTGGCACATCTGCCAACACCTCACTTTGGGTGGGCTGTGCGCTCAAGCTGCGAAGTACAGTAGAGGGGGCGTCCTGCCCTCACAGCTGGTGGTCGTGGCAGAAGCTGTCCAGGCCTGTGTACGTGTCAAGCAATCACCGAACCTGGTCGTACCTTAGGAATCCCCTTTGTTTGTGTCACGTGACAGGTGGCGCCACTGAAAACCCGCACGCGCCGGGTTTAGCTCTGATTACCTCAGTTGGCTTTTGTGAAACTTTTATCTGTATAGAGTGTGTGTTTGACTTGGTTTTCCCTGTTAGGGTGTGGGGGTTTCTTTTTTCCCTACTCCATACTGAAGTAAAATTCTACTAAAGAAACGAGGTTTGGGTTAAGGCTCGGTGGGTTGGTTTGGGTTTGGTGTCTCGTAGTCAGGCTTTCTGGACACTTGAGATGTTAGGTGATAAGTCCCAAGCACAGAGCCTTTCATGAAAAGCCTCTTGCTTGAACCCACACTGATGTTCTCTCATTGCCTTTGTTCTACAAGTTCAGGAAGAATGTGTTACCTGTTCAGACTTTTCATATTGAGGGAGGATCATTTGGCTACCTTATAATAACATAACTCAGTGCTTACTTTTAAAACTGGATTTTTAAAATTGGATCCCGTAAATAACAATAAAGAATGAGCCACTTCTTCTGGGCGCCCTATAGTTTTGTCGTTCTTAATCTGAACTTACGGTTTTGAATTTCTTGCTTTTGGAAAACAACTACAACCCACCACAGGCAGACTGTACAGTGAGCGGGGCGGCTGTCGCACAGTCTTCCAGGCGTGTTACCGGAGTTCCCGCCATCACCGTCTTCCTCCCGAGTTACTTGGGGGTGGTGCCTTTCTTTGGAACCTTCTGGCTGCATTTCTGGTGGTAGAATATACTGTAAAATGGGTCCCCTCTACTCTGTACTTATTTACACATCACTAGACTTCCTTTTCCCATCCCCACCCTTTGCCTACAGGATGTACTGCATGTCGTCATTATATGCATACATTAGACATCTACAAATTTTGTTTTGCATTTTTATACTGTTGGATACTTATCATCAAAACTTTTACCAGGCCCCTGGATAAATGTAGTCTTATTAGAAATTTTTAAAAAATAATAATCACCTAGGGGACTTCTGAAGAGTTTAGGTTTCTAGATCCAGCCATGACTTACTGAGTTGGGAGCCCTGATGGAGGAGCCCAGGAAGTTTCTGTGGCCCCGCTGCTAGAGCCATTGAACCTGAGAACACAAGAAATTAGTGCTTTGCCGCTGTACGTCACCACGCTCCAGAACAGTGGATTTATGAAGAGCTCTGGTGCAGGAGCTGACCTCGATCTCAGTCTCTGTGCTGTCACTTGTCAGGTGTGTGACTTCCGGCAAGTTGCCAATGTCTGACCCTGTTTTCTTTCCTGTTCACATGGACTGAGAACATCTACCATCTCAAGTTACCCGTCCAGTTAAACGAAATCATGTCATATGTACTTACCACAGTGCCTGGCACAAAGCAGTATTCAGTCAATAGTAGCTGCTGGCTGCTGTTAATGCTCAGGCTACCACTTCTATAATAATACAAATACTGCTTTTCCTTCTATTGATCCCTAAATGTACCCACTTTGACCTCAACCCGTCTTCCTCTACTAGCTATGTGCCCTTAAGCAAGTCATCTAACCTCTCAGTGCCTCTGTCTGCTCATCTATAAAATGTGGGGATAGGGGGAGGTGGGGTTAGTAACAGAAGTATCTGCCTTCTAAAATTCTTGGAAGGATTGAAGGAAATAATCTATGTAAAGTGGGTAGTAAGCTGGCTAGCAAGTAAGTGTTCACTAAGTGCTGATTGGAAATTACTATTCATTCCCTGTATTATTAGTTTCATAAAACATCTTCTTTCTTTATCACTGCTGCCCTCCTCCAAGTCATTGCCTCTGCCCTCAGCCAGTCAGCTCGTCTGGTCAGTCAGTCTGTCTCTCTCCTCCTCTCCCTCCCCCTTACCATCAGTCACCCCACCCTCCACTCCCCACCTGTACTTGACCCTAACTTTGCTATCACTGATACTGGCCCCATCATGCTCCCTCATCAGTCTCAAAACTTTGGCACCATCCTGAGCAGCACCAGGCTCAGCAGAGTCCTGAAGCAGAAGTGAGCGGCTTGGGGGGCGGGGGGCTCCACGGGAGTGAGAAGTCAGTGTGCAGAGGCGGAGGGCAAGGGACAACCAATGCTTAGTCAGGGGCCCTGTGGCATGAACGGCAATGGCACCCTTTGTCCTCTTGCTTTTTCCTATCTATAGCATGAGACTTGTTTAGAGCAGAAGTCTGCAAATTCTTTTTAATTCAGCCACAAAAACTTGAAAAAATAAAACGTTATACCAAACCCCCATGAATAAAATACACGTATGTAAAACACCAGGACTACCCTGGGTTGTGACCACTCACCGTGATCCAAGCACATGCTCTCTGTGCATTCTTACACATGCACCCCCCCACACCAGGTGAGGGGGGTGGGCACCGTGGTAAATATCGTCCCCACTTTACACACGACCAGGCTGGGCCACACCTGGTAAAGGGAGACAGCCAGAACTCCCAGCCAGGTATCTTGAATGCAGACTGCTTTACTTTAAAGCGCTATACTCCGTTGCCTCCTCAAATGTATCCCATTTTCAGATGAATAAACTAAGGCTGGAAAAAGCTAGGAAACTTGCCCAAGATCAAGTTCAAATCCTTGCCTGTGGACTCCAGCATCAGTGCATTTAACTGCATGTAAATATGTTAGTTATAAGACCCTTTTCCAACTCTCACAATTAATGTTTTTCCCTGTTATTTGTAGAAGCAGAGCTTTCCATGTTAGTTCTAGGTTTGGGGGTAAATAGAGTGCACACACACACACACACACACTCTCTTCAGGCTATTCTCTTGTTCAAGACTACTTTGCTATACCAGCTCTAAAATAATTACCCAGGGGAAAAAGTAATGGTATCTCATGCCAAGATCCTTTTGTACAAATGGTGTTTGGCACTTCCCATTAGTTTCTTAGTGCTTCATGAATCAACTTGATGCTTTAAAATCTGACTTGCAAAGATACAGGGTAATTTTAGATGTCCAAACATTTTGGCTGAATCTTGTACAAAAGTCTATAATGGGATCATTTAAAAACTTTCCTCCACCCCATCCCAGCCCACCCCTATGCAGACTAAGGGCGGAAAGATGGTTATAGTCTTTGGTCACTTCAAGGCAGGTGGACATTTTTGTTCTTGTTGCTTATGCTTGCTGTGTGTCTCTTAGAGATGATTTAGGATAAAATCATTACACACATTTGCTTTTTTATGTAAAAGTATAGAAAGAAAGCATCCCAATAAAGACCACTGCTGCTCGCAGTGCTGAGAAGACTAGGAAATGACCACCCTACAAATCTCGCACCGGCCCACTCGGTGAAAGGAGCCTAGCGTGTTGCAGAAACGAGCTTCCTGTCAGCTGGGATTCAGCCATATGGTGCGGAACCAGAAATTTGGGCAATTTCATTTTCAGCTTAATGAGAAGCTTGTCTTCTGGAGTGGTCAGACCGCGCAGGCTCTTGGGAGTTTTGAATTGGATGTGTGTTTCACAGCGGAGTCCATCGCACCTGGGCTGAGTCCTCGCTCCACAGTCTAGGCTGGAAGCGGCCCTACCCAAGTCCGTTTTTATCTCCAAGCTTTAGTTTCTACAAGTGTCAAACAAAGAGAAGTGAACAAAATAAAGAATGGAAGCCCTGGCTGGCATAGCTCAGTGGATTGAGCGCAGGCTGGGAACCAAAGTGTCCCAGGTTCGATTCCCAGTCAGGAGACATGCCTGGGTTGCAGGCCATAACCCCCAGCAACCGCACATTGAAGTTTCTCTGTCTCTCTCTCTCTCTATCTCCCTCCCTTCCCTCTCTAAATATAAATAAATAAAATCTTTTTTTAAAAAATAAAGAATGGAAGTAAGGATGAATTAATAGAATAAGAAACAAATCTAAATAAATGAATTATTTTAGTTGAGTAGGAAGAGTCAGTAGACCGTAAGGAAAGACCCTAAGAGGATCATGCCCCTTGGGTTTAGTAGCTTAACTCTTGTGCTCAGAGTAATTACTTAACTTCTTCTCTGGATAATCCTACCCACTTACTATCCTGAGCACACTCAGGACCTAGAATGGTATGGTCCGTGAACAGCATGGCGAAAATGCCAGCATGGGAGTCATGCCTCATGAAGAATGGTTCAATTATCTGGAAACTTTTTCCTGGAAAAGAGACGGGGGAATCAGTGTAGGCAGACTGTAGTCACGGATCTCCCAAATATGCACGGTTTTCCTGGAGAAAGGAAAGCACTTAGGAGCCATGTAGTTGAGTGGTTCCGAGCACAGGTCTCACTTGGTCTCGGTCATTGGTCAGCTGGTGTCCTTAGTCATCTCACTTCACCTTTCTAAGTATCCTTGTACTCTGTGACATAGTGTGATAATGCCCGGCTCTCATAGCAGTGGGGACAACTGGGTGGTGCAATGCGTGCAGAGTGAATAGCATGGTGTGTGGTACCCAGTGAGCACTTCGCCACCGGTCATCGTGTTGCCGACGGTTTCTGTTGGTTCACCTGGGCTTCATGGGACTCATCAGTCCTAAAATCTCATGCAGCCCTTCTGTCTTCATAAAAGAAGGTCCTCGTAGAGAAACCAGCTTAGGACCTGCAGGAGTATTCGTATGTCAGCTGAGTCTGCACAAGGGGACTTCCTCTGACTGCCAGAACAGAGCACACCCGCACAGGCTAGGGAGTACTACACTGCCCACTTCACCCCACTGCACATAAAGCTGGTATTCCCAACACGTGT